AAAAGTCTCAAATTAGTGAATGGAGCCGGGTTCAGAGTTCAGGGGTTTTGGGTCAGATTGTAATAGGGTCTGTTCCAAGACCTTGGTTGGTACTGATGTCTGGTACAGATTATCTGGTACTGTGAGTGGTTTAGTGATCCAGACCGTTCAGGCTCCACCGAGATAGAGCGCCCTCTAGAATGTTAATCTATCAGGACTTTCTGAGCACTGGTGTTTTTTTTTGTTGAAGGTTTTATAAAAGAGTATGGACCTCAGGAACATGTTTGATTACAACGTCTAAAGCAGTGGTCGGCAACCCGTGGCTCCGGAGCCGCATGCGGCTCTTTCGTCCTCTGCTCGGGCTTCCTGTGGCGAGGCTGTGTGGGAGTAAAGGACGGGGCTGATTCAAAGTCCTTCACTTTTCAGGCTAACTGCCTCAGAATAGTGGTAAATTTTCACTCAACAGTGAACGAGCAAGAGCTACACAACAACAACACTGAATGACATTGAATGCCACACCACTTACACTCATATTTGTAACATCAACCAAAAACACTGAACTCCCACAGTGCATTGCAGCACATATACTCCTTGCTATCGAGTATTTAATTCAAATGTATTTTATTTTAGTTCCTTAGTTTTTTAAATATAATTCTAAATTTGAATTAATTTATTAATTAACATAAAAGGTGTTTAATTTTTTGTCGCTCAAAATATACGTCACAACTGCCGATGTGCGACACCCGCCGGCAGGCCCAGCCCGCTATTTGTTGAACTTTTCGACCCCAGGTAAGCCAACCATGGATAAATCTAAGAAAAGAAAAGCAGGTTGAACGTAACACTGCATATATTTTTTACCTCTATGCTAGGCCTATGTATAAAAAACTATAGTGTGTTGCATTTATGAAATGAAATGAAATGTTTTTTACCTCTGTGTAAAAAACAATATATGCAGTGTTACGTTCAACCTGCTTGTTTTTTGGAGTTCAAAATGTATTCGTATGCATAAATAAAATTTTGTTTTCTCTGTGGCAGTTCTTAGTTCATACATAGGCCTAGCATAGAGGTAAAAAACGATATATGCAGTGTTATCTTCATTTTAGATGTCAAAGGGGTTTTGTGGCTCCCAGTGTTTTCTTTTCTGTGGAAAACGGGTCTAAATGGCTCTTTGAGTGTTGAAGGTTGCCGACCCCTGGTCTAAAGGAATAAAACCTTTTTTAAAACCAGTTTGATCATCATCAGACTCACCGCTGTTGCTGCAGTTTCCTCAGTTCGTCTAAAGCAGTCTGCAGCTTCTCCCTGTCATACTGCTCACTAATCAGGTCTCTACAGTCCATTATAGAGTCCAAGTCTTCCTCCTGAGAAAGAACACAAACTATTTATTATCAAAGAGCCTGAGGTGTCTCATTACTGATCAGTTGATTGATCTGAAATAATGATCTAACAGCTGACCAGAGAACAGATTTTAAATGTAAAGAACATAAAGATATATAAGTTTTACATTTGAGGAACATATAAAGGAGCAAATATCTTCAGCATATTGTATGTTCTAGAGTCATTATAGTTATTGGATTATTAAATGTGTGGGTTAAAGAAACACTATTGATCTCTTTACTTTATTCAACAGTATGTCAAGTTCTTCTAGCTACAGACTGGATTACCAACGTCAGATATATTATACTGCACTGCCCCCCAAAGGCAAACCGCAGTAACTACAGTGCAGGTCAAAATTAAGTTTAAATGTCTGTTTTATCTTGTGATAAGTTCAGTCTCGCTCTGTTTGAGAGAAACAACAATGTCAGTAACTACAAAATCCAACCGGAAACCAAACACTAGACTGACAGGACAAGCTATTACTGGGCTAATTAAAATAACTGTCATAGGTTAAACCTTACAAAATAAAACTTGAATCTCAAATGGCTCTTCTGTTTCTTGTTACTCAGTAAAGGATCAGAAATACAGATTTAATGTAATAAAGTAGACGTTGTCAGGAAGAAGACTCTCAGACTGTAGTTACTGCACTACCTTTATATCTGAACATGGAATACAAAGACACAGAGCAGGATCTGCAGTTTACAGGGCAGAGGTCAGATGGTCATGATTTTTAATCAATGAAAATTATCAATGAAAATTACTAATAAATGTATATTATATTATATATTATTTTATAAATTACTCAACTAATAACTTTTTAATGAGAACATAACTGCTGTTCTATAAAACACATTTGGATGGACACTGTTAGTGTAGTTACTGTGGGTGGCCTCTGGAGGGCGGTGTAGATATATTGAAGTCTGGTCCATGTGCACACCACCTGCCCTTAAATTGAATCTTGAATTTCCCTCAGGATAA